TATTTATTTATTTATTATGTATACAATATTCTGTCTGTGTGTATGCCCACAGGCCAGAGGAGGGCACCAGACCCCATTACAGATGGTTGTGAGCCACCATGTGGTTGCTGGGAATTGAACTCAGGACCTCTGGAAGAGCAGGCAATGCTCTTAACCTCTGAGCCATCTCTCCAGCCCCCCCTAAAGTTTATTTTTATATTACAAAGTACATTTTAAAATCTGAGACAGGTAGGAATTTGCAGAAAATCAGACTGCTGTTCTACTTAAACTGAACTGGACTTTTCATCCCATTTTGAAGGGTGACAAAATACTATTCCATATTTTCTCAACTTTGAGAAAGGAGAACCTGTGCTAGATTTCATCAGTGGTAATAATTCCACTCTGCTGTAAAGTGAGATCAAAAACCTTCTTTTGGTGGTTTCAGAACCTAAAAATTTCTTGGATTGATTGGTAAGGTGACTTAGTCAAAATCATATTACTAGCCGGGCGGTGGTGGCCACGCCTTTAATCCCAGCACTTGGGGGGCAGAGGCAGGTAGATCTCTCTGAATTAGAGGCCAGCCTGGTTTACAAGAGCTAGTTCCAGGACAGGAACCAAAAAGCTATGGAGAAACCCTGTCTTGAAAATTAAAAAAAAAAAAACAATTGTAGTACTAGACCACTATGATGAAGTTCTCTTACAAGTGCTAGAAACACTTTCTTTTTATCCAATATTTCTTAAACATTTCCTACCCCTTAAAAAGGACAATCAGATTATTGTTTACTTTTAATGATACTAGTTTGAACCAAGGGACTCATGTGCAAGGGGAGCCTTCTTTCTCACTGGCTGGCATCCCTTGTCTTGAGTCAATTTAGTTTCCTGTGTGTTACGGTTGACTTAATTCACAAAAATCTTCTTCCTATTAAGGTCAGTCTACACTAGAGGTTTAAAAATTTGAAGACCATTCATTGTTTTGCTTTGCTTTCTTATGTAGATATTTTAGTACCTACTTTAATAGTAATTTCTAGACAGACCATTGCTATATTTCTTGTTTATGCTATACAAATAATGAATTAGATTTGGTACATAAATAGGGAGGGCACTTGCAAACAATTTCTAAGAAGTTTGTTTGATAGCTTAATTCTTAAACATTAAGTTTTTTTTAATCTTAAATTGCTACAGTTTGATATTAAGGTTTTTAAAAATATTTTGTGTGTTTGTATATCAGAGAAAACCAATGTGAGTTAGTTCTCTTTTTTCCATATGAGTACCTGTCGTCCTCCTAGTCAGCAAATATTTCTACCTTGTGACACATCTCACTGTGTCCTTGGTGGAGACATAGTCTCCTGTATATAACCTAAGCTGACATTAAACACTCTTGGTTCAACCCCCTGAGTGCTGGCATGACCTTAACTTTCAGTTTTTTGTTTGTCTTTATATTTTTATTTTAAATTCAGGGTTTCCATATGTTAAATGCTATACCACTTAGATTTCTTAATAGGTTTTCTCCCTCCCACAATAAGTTTCTCCACCAACTCATTATGCCAGATCGAGCCAAGTTAGAAATGTATAACAAGAGGTGTACTGAGCAAAGCAGCTCCCAGGCAGGTTCTCCAGCTTTAGTGACCTAGGCCTGAGAAGTCATGCTCCCAAACTAAAGCAAGGAGATCTTATAGATTGTAGGCAAGGGGTGATGACATGTCCACCACACAAGCTGAGTTTGTGCCTATTATGGTCAAAGGTTAAGTGCTTAGGTGGGGACTTGACTTGCAACTTCAGGGGAGGAAGCTGTAATAGCTGCTAAGAATGCTGAGTTGGGGTTTTTGGTGCCTTTCCCTTGTCAGGAGACTCTGGGTGTGTGGGGGGTTTGGATTGGGCAGGTCGAGCATAGATGCTCTAATGGAACACCTATTTCTTATTTTGTGATAATTGTAATAGAAAATTCAGGCAAATGAAAAACCTGTCCTTATTTCAGAAAGATGTGAGATATTTCCCATATTTTGTTATGAGGAATTTAAGTCAGTAACTAGTAAAGTCTTGATAAATCAACTGCATGTGTAAGAATTAGTATTGCTGGCGGGAGGGCTGGTGGTGTAGCACACCTGTAATCCCAACACTTGGGAGTCAGAGGCAGGTGGAGCTCAGTGAGTGGAAGGTCAGAGAAACTGTCTCAGAAAAAAATGTTGGAGCATTTAAGTGCCTCTTGGAGGGGACCTAGTGTGGCTCTCAGCACTCACACTGCTTGTAACTCCAGCTCCAGAATATCCAGTGCCCTCTTCTGGACGTGAACAGAGTGCACATCCCCACATAGACAAAAAGTCATAAAATAAGTCTTAAGGAATTAGTGTTAGTCAAATAAATAGTATAGTTGATAGTAATTTGAAATGATGTCTACGCTAACATTTAGAAATATTTATTATGTATATGATATGTTGATTTTAGCACATGGTAGATATGAAGTGATATGGGAATGATCTTGGAGATAGGTAGCAAAGGTCTCTTTTAGAAGACTTGTAAGTTTATTAGATGGGAGATTAGTATGGATTAATTCTGTACTGTAACTTATTTTCTCTAGTTTCAACCCTGGATATTCAATCAAATTCATGTAGGACCTCAATAATTACTCCTTTGGAGTTTTTGTACTGAGACTTAGGCTTATTTTAGTAACTGTTCTAGAAGTTTTGCACTTCCAAATCTAAGATCTTGTCACAATTTTTCTATCTTTTGCTTGTATTATTCTGTTCATAAACTGTATTTCTTGGTCTGTAGGTTCCTTCTTAGAAAATACTGCAGTTGTGATACGTCATACATAGGATTTAATAAAATCTATTCTGTCTTTTGCAGAAATGTGGATTCCCAGATGGAGTGAAATAACAATACCACAGACATTGTTGAAGCATTTAGTAAGTCTTAATCTACTTGTTGGATTTGATTTTTAATTTTAAGTGTCACTAGATATTTTAAATGTCACTTACTGATTTGGAATTATAAGCTTTGTCAAAGCTGTAAACAGTGAAAGAAAATCCACAAAGTGGTTAAATGTGAAGTTTATTTCTAGAGACAATGATTACTTTATACTTGGTGGACTTGTAATTCATTATGTACATCAGGCTAACCTGGAACTCAGATCTGCTTGCTTCTACATCCTGAGTGCTGGGATTAAAGATGAGCCATCATGATGGGGTCAGGATATAAAACATTAAGACCAAGAAACCGTGGAACTTTTTTCTAACATCCTGGATTTGGGTGTCCCTTTGATTTTTGTAAAGGCCCTCTCCCTACCCCCAAGTATACCTGGACTGTTTATTCTGTTCATTTAGATACTGTGGTTGCTTTTCTATTACAGTTAGAGTTGAGAATACTTGTCTGAAATACAAGAGGATACTTTGCACTGAAAATGCACAGCCTAGAATGTTTATAGTTTGGTCTCCAAAGAAAGACTGTGGTTTTAGAGTCTATGCTACTTTTATGATGTAGAACACAAAAGCCCTTTGGTTCTCTCTTTACAATAGAAATTAGTTTTAATGGATATCAGTTGTAATTTATGATAAATTAACTGAATTTAAACTTCAAGACTAAAACTTTTGACTTATTGACATAGAAATTGCTATTTGATGCAAGATATGTTATAATTACCACTACTGTGAAGTAGGTTTTCTAATTCCAAACTTGTCAAGTAGTAGGAAAGAGTAAAATGAGAAGGGTGGTAAACCATCTTGAGTGAATTGCCCAAAGGATTTATTCATTAGCAACAAACCTTTAAGATAATTGTCTACTATTTATTTCATAGGAGTAAAATCTAGATTCCGAGTGACTTTTTTCCCATTATTGCTACTTGAGATAGCAGTGTTTGTTTTTCCTGAAGGAGAGTGAATAGACCCCAAATTTGCCTAGTGCACTATTTGCTAGTTTCCAGTGTGGTCATTCTTAGAGATTAGTTGCCTGGTACATGGTACCTACTCAGTAAATATTTGTTCATTTATTGGATTAGTGTAACTTTTATTAAACATTATCAACTCATACTTTGAGTCTAATGAAAGGCGAGATGAAATTCATTATTAAAATAAAAATGTTATTGATGTAAAATGTAGGTGTGGTTAAGAGCTAAAATTTTGGCACAGTAAAAATTACAATATGTATAGCCCTCCCACCATACTCAGTATCTTTATCTTGGCTTCATAATTAGATTGTAAAGCCATAGAAAAGATGACTTTTGCTTTATCACATTTGACCTCATCCTTTTATTAATGAAGACTGGCTAGTCTTTTTGAAATATTTTACTGCCAGTTTTAATATCTATGTTATTTAAGATTCAGATTTGTTAATCTATTTTGATGAGGATTCAATCTATTTTTTAAAATAAAATAAGAGAAACTAGATTTTACTCTTCAGGGCTTTCTTACATATATTAAAATTTAAAGACAAAGCAAAAGATAAAAATCAAGTCATAAGTGCTAGGTATATTTTGCATGACAGGAAAGATGAGTTTTTGTACTAAATTAATATTTTCTTTGTTTTCCTCCTTTAGTTGTAAAACAAGCATTTAGCTTTTGAAAAACTATAATTTCATTAATAGTAGCCCTATAGCCATTTATTAAAAATTAAGATCGCTAATTTTCTTTTTAAGTTTTTGCCCTCTGTATTTATTTTTGCTATTAAAACTGGTAAAGATATGATGGGCATGGTGGCAGAAACCTGTAATCTTAGTACTTGGGAGAACTGGCATCAGATGTTCAGGGTCATTCTTGGTCTCAATCTGAGGCTACTACATTGGATAGACTCTAAAAAATTAAAGCTAGTTGAAGTACAAGTACAGAACTGCTTTATTTTAGAAGAGTCATACTTATACGCCAGATGAGTCAGGGTTGTGTGAACTTATTTTTATAGCTAATTTGCTGAAGGAGAATTTGAAGAAATCCATACTCGATTTTCTGTCTCTCCAGTGGTTGGATTTCAGGAGATAATTTAATGATTACCTCGGTGACATAGAAACTTAGGTTTGCACAGGGAGTTTGCTTAGAATAAACATATATACTCAAGGAAGTACAAACTAGAAAATACCAATGTTAAGTTTGAATCTTTGATAGGAAACAAAAGTTCTAAGTCTGAGTGAGCATAGAGTTCTAGATCAAAGGAGTGCTTGTTCAAAATATCTATTAATTCACAAGTGGCTGTAGAATAAGGAATAGTTTGGTCATCAATACTTATGCTACATTGAAATATTTTCCCCAAATACAATACTAAAGGCAAAACTGTCTTTAAATAATTGATGCCATGATCCTATGTGTTCTCAAAGATATCCTTACTGTTGGACTGGAAAGTGTTCTGACTCTTTAGTTTGAGATTCTCATATGCTTTGATTACTGTAATCTAGTGGAATGATAGCCAGCCTTTTCTGAGATCATCTCATTTAATCTTCAGTAGTACCACAAGAGGTAGTCACTAGGATCTGCTGTTTTACACGTGAGGAGCTGTGATTTTGTTAACTTCATGCTCTTAAGTGCTCTTGTTTGAGACCTATTTTTCTGTCAAGTAAAATTTCCTTTGTTGGGCTAGAGAGATGGCTCAGTAGTTAAGAGCATTGCCTGCTCTTCCAAAGGTCCTGAGTTCAATTCCCAGCAACCACATGGTGGCTCACAACCATCTGTAATGAGATCTGGTGCCCTCTTCTGGCATAGACACAGACAGAATATTGTATACATAATAAATAAATATTAAAAAAACCACACTTCCTTTGTCCATTTAGTTCTTGTTAGTATTTGAAACTTTATGAATGTAAGTAGATTATTTCTTAAACCTTCACAGACCTTTGATATTTTATGAAATATGTTTGCTAATTAACAAAAATCTTGCTTTTGGCTTTGGATCATGGGCGCTTTGCATGAGTCCATATTGCTCATTGATTTACAGTGTTAAATAGTCTGTTTTCTCTTATAGTAGTTTCAGATTTACTTTTTCATTATTTGAAATACATCACCTGATGACATGACAACTATGGGAGTGCAGTTTCTGAGAAGTTTCCGAATGATAATGCCGTTATTGACATTTTGAGGCTATAGCCTACTCCAGCCTCAGCAGTCTTCTTGCCTCATCCTCTCCCGAGTGCTGGGATTTCATGTGGAAGCCACCATATCTGGCCTTTTCTTTTTTGTTTTTTTAAGGGTTTTTGTAGCAGAGGATGACTTTAATGTCTGTCCTTGATCTCCCAAATGCTGTGGTTACAGGCAGGAGCTGCCACCATGTCCAGTTTTATGGGGTTTTGGGATTCTCTTGCCCAGGGGTTTGTGTATGTTAGGCACACACTCTTTTTCCCCTTAAAAATTGTTTTAGAAATAAATTGTATTATCCAGTGGCAGAAAGATAGCGCTGAGTATTAATGTACAACATTGAATAACTTGCACCTGTAACTCATTAGTAATACATTGTTAGTGTCATTTTGTCAAAGATTATATCACTGTTTCATATAGTGCCTGACCATGCATTTTAACACATCAGATAGAAGACAATCTATGTTGTAATGAACTAAGCCGACATATAATTTATCATTTCTTTATTTAAAAAATTGTTTTTTTATGTGTATGGATTTTGCCTGCATGCTTGTCTGTGCACCACATGCAAGCCTGATCCCATAGGAGGCCAGAAGAGGAAATGTGTCCCCTGAGCCTGAAGTTACAGTAACAGGCTGAATATGGTACTGCGAATCAAACCTGGGCCCCAGAAGTGGAAAAAGTGCTCTTAACCACTGAGCATCTTTCTAGTCCCTGCAATTATTCTGTTTTTCATTTAGAGACTTGGTCTCACTGAGTGACCCTGAACTCCCTAAGTAGATAGGTAGGCCTCAGACTCAGCGGTCCTTCTGCCCCTCTGCCTCCCAAGTACTAGAAGTAAAAAGGTATGTGCGACCATACCCGGCCATTTCTTAATTTTAGGAAAAGAACAAGGCCAGTAGTATTTCATTGACTTGGGAATAGAAAAAAATTCTTTTTCATTTTAAGGAAGGGTTTGAGAAAGTTTCAAAAATCTACTAGAGAATAGTATCTTGATTTGGGGCTGGAGAGATGACTCAGTTAAGAATATCTTGATTTGATGATTACTGATGCTGTCATACTCCTTTAAAGAGTTGTTTTTTTATTTGGAGACACTTCTATCTTTTGATTATCTAGTTTATTAAGTATGTTTTATAATGTATGTATTAGAGAACATGGTTTTAGTTAGGGAGACAGGAAAATAGCCTAGAAGCAAACATGCATTCTGTTTCTAGTCACTGACTGTAGCTCTACAAATTGAACTGGAAAGTTATAGAACATACAGAGAAAATTAGGAAGGGACTGAAATGGTTTTGCTGGTTCAGAAGATGGCTCAACCTTTAAGTACCTAGCTACTACCTGCCTGTAATTCAAGGTGGAGATGCATCTTTAGAGGAAACTGACTAGCAACGTGATGAGCTTTGAGTTTGACTGAGAGATCCTGCTTGAACAAAATTAAGATGATTTCTCAACATCAGTATCAAACTCGGGCCCACACATGCATTTACACCATGTAAATATATGCCTTCTTAGAAAAATAGGCACACATACATAAAAACTGGGAAAAATTATTTTTCAATTTTTTTGTGAATATGATGATTCCAGATGTTTAGTAGTAAAATCACCTGGAGGCTCATTTCTCCCTCTAGTACAAATTATTTAAATAACAGATTAATTTTTCTAGAAGGAACATAAACTGTTTTGACAATGAAAGTATATTTTAGTTGTTTATAATTCAAAAAGCAATAGCGTTTCTGTTGCAAATTCCAAGTAAACTAAGCAGATGTTTCTAAATTTTTTTTGTAATTTTTTTCTTGTGGCTTCACATTTTATGCATTCTCAGATATGTAAATATAAAGGTGCATCTGTTTATATAGGTCATGTGTGTTATCTAAACAAAAGTAACATCTGTAAGACTTTAAAACTATGCCATGCAATCTTCTATTGCTTTTAAAAAAAACTCTTAAGACTCTTTATAAGTAGTTTTCTTTGAAGGAGCTTGGAAACTTTTGCATTGAAACAGTAGAATCCACAGTGTTTGTAATTTAGCTTCCCACCATTTTTAAATTTTAATCTTTGGCTTTAGTTTTCACATATATAAGAATTTGACCTTTGACTGCTATTTTTAATGGATACAAATATATTTGTGACAGGAGAAGCTACAAAATGTGCATTCACTGATTCTATTTCTGAGAGGTTAAGTTTTATCACAATAGTGAAGTAAAAGGATTTTACAGAATTAAAGATTTATATACAATGGGATATCTTCAAGGTGGGTAGAATTTTGTTTTGAAGAAATAAGATGATATTCCAACAGAATTTTTTTCTTCTAATTTTTTTATGAAGCATCCAGTCAGCTTGAAGAGTTTGAAATGGACTACTGAGAAATCAAGATGGCAGCCCACTATGGGGAATTGAGGAAAATGGATTAAAGCCTGAATGCTGTGATGTTATACAACCGACACAGGGTTCTTTTCATGTGGATTCCATGAAATGAACGATTCTTACCCAACACAAATGGACAGTGGGATTTCCTTTCTAAAGACTTCTTACATATTATGTACATTTTAACATCTGGAGAAGATGTTACATTTATTCAAATACTAGTTTGTATTCCTGGAATTTCTTACAATTTTGATCTGACTGACCTTATGGAATGTTAACTTCAATAAAATCTCTAAAACTTAAAGATTTCTCAGTTTGGCCCTTTTTTAAATTTTTTTTAAGTGGACGCTTTCATTAAATGTTCATTTCTCTATCATTTTGACCTTTATCGTTGCTTTTCATTAAAGTATATTGAATAAAGCTGGTAAAATGGAATGGTGTACTGAAGAATATTTTGTTTGGTTGGGATTTTTTATTTGCAAAGCTGTGTCAGTGTACCTGTGCTTAGTGGAATGACCTTTTTGTTAAAAAGCAATTTGGTTGGTGTTTTTTATTACAGGGTTTAAGTGAATGTCATTAAATTTGTTTGGGTCTTTTCAAAACATCTTGCATTTTAATCAGTGGGTAATAGGAACCTTAGAAGTATTATGAGATTACAATGAATTTACAAAACAAAGTACTTGTTGCCTACAGAGACTGAGACCCAGTATCTCAATTCTTGTTGATGGAAGTGACTCCGTTGACCTGTGTTTTTAAAGTATTATAAGTAAAACCTGGAATGCTCATCCTTAATATCTGAGTTACAGTGATGTTTGTATTGTCTAATATTAGATGTGTAATTTTTAGGACCTTTAGGGTATACACCAAAGGGTTTAATTTTTAATAGTATTGTAATGTACATATGAATAATACCTTGTTTCCCTTCAATCCATTTGGTGGTTTAAATGAACCACACTGTGCTTTAGATTACCCCATGGTTGGAATCAAATGCCAGGTTTTCATTTGCTGATCTTAGTTACTAACAGTTTTAGTAACTAATAGAAAGGAATGATGGTGAACTTTTTTTCGTTGACCATTGATTGTTTTCTCAGTATGGAGAACAAAGAACAAAAAAAAAAATCCATTGTTAATACAAAGTATCTTAGAATATACATCTATGGTTAATACACATGCAGTGTTAGTTGATGTGAAGTAGTTGGTTGGTCTTTGCTTAAATTGAAAAACGAGTTGGATTTTGATTGGAATGTAAAAATCGGTAGATTTGAAACTTCATTATGGATTTTACATTTATTTAGATTTAATATAAGTGCTTTTGGTTGTAAAGATCAAATGAATTACCGCCTTGATGAGTGACATGGATTTGACCAGTTACAGGGCTCTGTAAAGGGGTGCTTTGAGTTTTTATGGCACGCATGTGGTTACTTGTCTGCATGGAAAACAACACGTTGTTGCATTTTTAATTTGTTTCTATAGACCTTTCCACCTTCAGGGAGTTCGTCTTTGAAAGTTTGATTGGCTTTTAGATGTGATCTATTGTAAGTGACCTGTCATTGATGAAATATGAGTATACCTAGAATTTGATTTTAAATATGAGTGAGGTATTGGTATATACTAGTTCTTTGGTTTTGGAGTTGAGGTTGAGTTTTTGATTTAAAGGTGACCGTGGTTGGTGTATATTCTTGATTTTGTAGTTAATCATTTTGCCCAAATCAGTTAAAGTAAATATGTAACAAGTATGAGAATTTTTTGATGTATGGTGCATCCAAGGTTATATCATGGGTTAAAGAATTTTGATGATTGTTGAGAGGGTTGTACTAAGTTTTGCTCTACTGCAACTGAACACTAGGGAGGCGCTCTTGAGTTGTAAAAAATTACCCCTTCCAGTTGGGGTGGAAAATTCCCCTTTAAACTTAGTCTTTAGATGGTTTTTAGGGACAATAAAGAAGGCGAGAGTTCAGCTTAATTTATGGTATTGATGTTGCTTCTATTTGCAATCCATTTTACCCATGGGGGTGTTAATTTTTTAAAAGATTAGTACTTAAGCTGAGCTTTAGATTCTTAAAAATTATCCTTATTTCAAAATGGCTTGATAAAACACCACTTCCTGTCCAGGGAGGAAGTTATTTTAGCTCAAGGACTGAAATATTTAGCAGATCTTTAGACAAAAGGAACAAATTACATTTCTCTCTGGCTTAAAAAGGGTGCTTGAGCCAGAGGGGGTTAAGAAGCCCTTCCCCCTCCCCCTTATGAAGTGGTCTGGAGGGGCAGGGAGGTGTGGGGTTGGGGTCTTAAGGCTCCCTTGGATGGAGGATCTAGTTTTTTTTCTTTCTTTTTTTTTGGTGGAGATGAAGGGGTGGGTCTATGGTACATCACCTGAGTTGTGGGGTAAATGTAGAGAGTGTCAATCAAAGGCAGAGCTCTCAGAGCTGGGAAGGAGGCTCTAGATGGCGGCTGTGCCTTAGAGAGAGCGCGCTTTGCTCCCTGCTTCGCTTCACTTTACGCAACTTTCCCTAACTTTCGGGCACCCTCAGGGGGCCCCCGCAGCCCCCTGCCTCTTCTAGTGAGTTACCGGGGTCGATCCGAACCTTTTTTTGGGAGAAAAGCAGCGTTTAGGAGCTTTTTTTTCGTGCCTTGTTGGAAGAAGCTGCCGTATTGAGAGCCCAGGTCGTTGTTTTTTCCAGCTTAGAAGCCATGGCGCACCTCCATTTTTGTGCGCTCTCCTAATGAGGCTTTTTTCCCCTTCCGGACCTGTTTTAGTATTAATTACTGCTTTATTTTTGACAAGTCAACACATTTGGAGACTATTTAATTTACTTTTTGTTTTTTAACGGAGGATTTTGCGTTTTTTAATTATTTTGGCTCTGATATTTTTCTACTACTAGATAGGACTCTTGCTTTGGACATACTACATGGATCAGGTAAGTCCATGATAATTAGTGATAATTTTAAAGATTTTTATGTTGAAGTTGGCTTTATTTACTGTAAATAGGAGAAATTCCTGGATGACGCAATAAGATACAGAGATTGTTATTTGTATCCAGTGTGTTACTTTGAGAAACTTTCCTTATTGATAGTGATGCTTCTACCGTTCAGTTTATCCCCTACTTATTTTAAAAAGGAAAAATAGAAATATTTTTGTTTTTTTGGTGCTTACCGTTGTTGCATTACATGAATATCGCTAACATCGTCAGGACTTTGTTCCTGATAATAAAAACCACCCATAGAAGCTGGGACCTTACCTTTCTTTCAACTTTTGACAGTAAATACCTGGGCACAGGACTTCAAAGCAAACACTGATTCCCCCTCCCCCTTAATATTTAAGAATTAAAAGATGATGAGAAATAAGGACAAAAGCCAAGAGGAGGACAGTTCGCTACACAGCAATGCATCGAGGTATGAGCTATCAACTTTCTTTTCTTTTTTTTTTTTTTTTTTTTTTGGGGAAACCTCAGCTTACACTTGTTTACTTTGACAGACATAGATTGCTGTCTGTGTTATAAGAATTTCCTAACTTGCGTTGATTTTTTTTAAAGCGTGACCTTGAGATTGCTAACATGCCACACCCTGATTTTTTGGTAGCAATTTATGAAAGTTGAGTTGTGACTTAAGGCCTCTTACAGCATTCAGAAGGTAAGGTACTTTTGTACGGAGGGGCCTTTCCTAGAAACTGTAGTTTTTCTGTCAGTAAATTTTTAGTTTTTAGGTTTTTGTGCTGCAGAAAAATGACCTTGTCTGTTTAGCCATTGCTGCATTGCACCATTTTACATACAAGGCAGATTTTTTCTTTGAAGAATCTGGGATATTCAAACTTGTAACTGAGGGCCATAGAGGAGCCTTGTGGTAGTAAATTATAGTAAATAGACATTTGAGAAAGTTACATGAATGGAAAATGTATATTTAAAATCAGAATCACAAATGGGACCCTTTGACTGATGCCTTTCGTTTATATTTTTGATTGTTTCTTTGGATACACTTCCATTTCGGAAATTTTTATGACTTAACCAAAACCTTCCTTATATTTCCTGAAATCATTAAATCTGTAACACGCAAAAATCCTGGAATGCTATTAATATTAAGCTTTGTATTTGTTACTATGGCAATATAATTTTAGATTTTATGTTTTAAAATGCTCCAAGGTTTATTTTGTGTATTCATGTTAAGACAGTGATTTCAGGGTGGTAATTGTATTTTATCTTTACCTTTTAGTTTATGCTGCTTTAAATTTATCCATTTATTTTGACAGAGTCGTCTGGAATGTTTTCTCTTCTGAAGCTTTTATGTACTGTTTGTTCAAATAATGATTTGTCTCACATTCCTTGAAGTAGTTTATCAGCAACTGAAGTAATAAAACCTATAAGATATTTTTGTTGTATGACTATCTTAATTTTAAAAGCTAATGTGCATGCATTTCTGGATGTATTAAGAATTGTCATAATTTAAAATCATGTAACTAACAAGGATGTGATTGGTTATGTGTTCTTTTCCCAATTTTGATTTTACTTTATAATTCTGCATAAAATTATTTTCTAAATTAGCTTGTAAATTTGGAAAATTTGAATATGGTTATTACAAATGATGAATTTTGCATTCTACTTAAAGATACTTTGAGTCTTGATTTTAAAGATAATTTCCAAGGTCCCCTGCAAATTGAGTTGTTAGAAATTTGGATGCCTTTTGAGTTGCCTGTGTAATTATTGGGTTATATATAGGACAAACAGCTTCTAATGCAAAACTAGTTTTCTGGAAAGTAATAATTTGAAGCTATATAGAAAGTTCCAGATATATTTGAAAATTATGAAAGACCCAGTACTAAAGTTGTTACTCCCTTGAGTATAGATTTGCATATTCTCACCAGGGTTTTGGCTTTCTTATGCAGGTTTTTGGTTTCATTGATCAGACTGTGCTCTCTAACTCATTGCAAAGTGCTGTCTGTCTTTGAATACACTTTTACTTTTATCTGGAATATGGCTTGGGCATTGTCATGCATTTATTTGATTTCTTTAGTTAAAACAAGAAGCATATATTTAATGCTTTTGCCAACTATACTTTAAATCACATCATATACTTTATGAATTTCCAAATACTCTAGAATCGTAGGTGCTGTTACTCTTAAGTGATACACATTATTAATGCATGTACATAGTTATGACATCACTTCCTTTCAAAGATTGTAAAGTTTAAAGGATGTTTGTGTTGTTTTGGTACAGTAGACTGTTAATTCCAGTGAGCTGAAATTGAATTTGCCTGTGTACCTGGTTCCTGTGTTAATAGATTGCCTAAAGAGGCTAAATTTTTGAAGTACAGTGTTTAGGGAACATTACTAAAAATCACTTTTGCACCCTAATACTACAAGAGAGGAAAGGAATTGTTTTCAGGTCAAGCAAATTTTGGAATGAGAATCACTTGAGAAACAGGAATGAACACTACTTTTAAGTAAACTTTTTCCTGCATTGGAAACACGTGCTATAACTTTTACTATTGATATCTTGTATTCTTTTGAAGCTAATGCTTAATTCTAAAGTACTTTGTATATCATGATTTTTGGAGTTTAAAAATTAACTTTTTAGAATGTAATTTTAAACAATTCACATTTGTAAATTTCTAAATAAAAACAGTTTTAGTGATGGACATATAATGTATGCCATATACTTACCTAAGTTGTTATATCCAGGAGTGAAACTAGGGGGAAGAGAATGCACATGGAATCGTGTCCACACATTTCTGTGTTTTAGGCACTGCATTTATAAACTCACATTTAAATGTCTATCCAGAATCATCTGCCTTTGAGCCATAATTTGATATTTGGACGTGTGGGTAAAATCTTAACCTTTTAAAGAGCCTCTTACAAGAGCCTCTTAGCCGTGTAAGGCTGGGGATGGTTAGAAAAAGCTTATGCAGTCAGTGCTTGTGGACTGGATCAGGCAGTTTTCAGTGGCAGCCATTTTATGACTGATAATACTTATAAAAATCGGATTTTTAAGAAGGCTGGAAACAAATGAATCGAAATCCTAAATATCAGAAGATCCCTTTCCCCATGTTCCCATTGGTACTCTGATGATGAAATAAGGGGGCAGCTCGGTAGTTGGCGTAGGGAGCAGCTCTCGGAGGCTCTGGCATCTTGGTGCACGTCCAGCTCAGTCACAAAATGGCTGTTCCTTTGTGCCGCAGCGCTGACAGACATACTGCATTGCACTGTGTACTCGCCAAACAGCAGGAAGTTGCCGTGCCGAGTTCAAAGGCCGGCCGGCGCTGGCGGCGGTTGCTGATTGGCTGCCTCCGCGCCTGGCAACAGCAGGGTCAACGGCGCGCCGTGGGGCTGTCCCCACCCTCTGACGTCAGCCGTGCTGGGCGGGAGAACGCGCTGACGCGTGGCCTCGTGCGCCGGTCGACTGCTTCCTGTCCGGGCCCGGGTAGTGGCGGGGGCGGGGCCGAGGACGGGAATTTTGGTCGGGACTTTCCGGTGGGCGGCTTCTTTCCGGAACGATTTTGATCTTGCAGTCCTCAGGCCTGGCCTGTAGTTGTCCACCGCGCCCTGCGGTTGTTTTCCTGAGCCCATTCCTGGAATAGTTGTCCTCTTTTGGAGAAAAGACAGTGTAATCGTACATCTCCAAATAGAAGTCCGCTAGTTTTTTTTTTTTTTTAATTTTTAGTTTTCGTGGTTTCTTTTCCCTTTTTTTTTTTTTTTAATATTCCGGTGCGTTTTTTCTCCCGTTTATTTCCTTGTTCATTGTAAAGAGATTAGTGAGTTTCATTTTGTTCCATTGATTGAAAACAGTTCATTGTGAGTGGAATGTTTTCAATTGAAAGGCCTTAACGGGTGTTTAAGGTCTGTGTCACACATGGCTCATAAACCAAGTGAAGAGCGCTTGAGCTTGTCCCCGTGCATTTTTACTTGGTACCAAACAGTTTCTCAATTGACATTTGAGGAAGAAAAACTCAGGTCAGTATGTGTTTAGTGGTTTGTAAGAGTCTCAGTGGGTAGTTAAATGGAGAACGGCCTAGGTACTTTTAGTTGTGACTACAAGTGTCCGTGCATTAGGAAATACATTATTTTGTAGTGTCAGCAAACTACTAAAGAGTTAGTGGCGCTGGCTGAGATTCAAACTTTGCTTAGTTAGCAGAATTGCTTGTTAAGGCCTTAGAAATGCCTTGGCCCTAGCCTCCCTTTAGTTAGTTTCTGCTAAACAGACTTATGTGTTGCTCATTTCCTACCTTTTTGGAAACCCTTGGAAGAATTTGTTCTTAAAAATAGTTTACCAACTGCTGCTTGCAATTAAATCACAAGTAAGGAATTTAAAGTTGAAGGAAGAGCAGTCAGTACACTTCTGTATTGTTTCCTTACATATTCCAGTACATCTTAGGACTATTGAGTGCGGTATTCTTAGGAGATACTATTAAGAATTCAGTAGAACGGTGCTATAAAATAGGTGTGGGCACTGGATGTGGAGGCACACACTTCTCATTCAACACTTTGGCGTTAGTGGCAGAAACTGGCTGATCTCTGATTTCAAGGCCAGTCTGATCTGCAAACCTGGACAGCCAGGGCTGTCCGGTGAGACTTCTTCAGAAAGAAAAACTGAACCAATGGACTGTATGGGCGTGTTGAATGTTACTGGAAATGTTTTCGTGGGTGTTTGTGAAAGCAACAGTTAGTTTCCCCAATGGGTTTTATAGGTTTCCCTTAATTATATTTGTTTAGGTGGAATTCTTAGGAATATAAGAATACAAGAGTCACGCAGAAAAGCTTGCACGTGATTTGAAATTATGTTCTCTTATTCTACACAAAATGCTTAACATCCTTATAGTTCTACATTTTATAAGCTAATTTAAATGTTTCCAATATTTTAAAGTGTTTATTAAATAATAGCAGCAGCAACAACAAAAACATCTTGATACCAGAAGGAAGATAGTACTTCCATGTCCCTTTTGGTGGATTGAAATTAAATTATAGTAATATTAGATTTTTAGCATTTGTTAAATATTCTTAAATTTCTCTGGGTTAGAATTAAGTAGCCAACCTTGCATTGTATTTATGAGAGAATAAACAGTTCTGTGGTAGGTAATTTCAGCCCAGGTATATTGCACTGTACGAGTTGATGTATTTCACAGGTTTAGTGGTTTCTGAACTGATTACAGTCCCAGTGAACATTTCAAACCATTTTCTAAGGTCTGATTTTTGAGTCTGTGTGGATATGGCAGAAATTGGCAAGAAACTTCTTTTTTCTTTTCTTTTTGGGATGTGTATTACATTTTTCTTTTCCTATCTATCTATCTATCTATCTATCTATCTATCTATCTATCTATCTATCTATCTATCTATCTATCTATCTATCTATCTATTTTTTTTTGGTTTTCGAGACAGGGTTTCTCTGTGGCTTTGGAGCCTGTCCTGG